GCTGTTCGAGCTGAGACCCCTGGTTGCCTCCGGACTAGGCGGTGGGGGAGGGGTGGGCTCTGGGGGATGCTGGGCTGGGACTCGGGAGAGCCAGGGGGTAGGGCCTGGGGACCAGAAGAGGACCCCAAGTTGGATCTGCGGGGCGGGGACCGGGTGTTGGCGTAGGGGAGGGAGGTCGTGAGGAGGAGCGCTTGGCTGCTGTTGGGTCAGAGGAGCGCGGGCACCCCAGAAGTCCAGCCTTCGAAGTTTGAGATGAGAGGAGTCCGGGGTCTAGAAGGTGGGCGCGATGCTGGAGCGGGGAACCCGCCCTCGGAGTCCCTGCGCCGAGTTGTAGAGAGCCTGCGGCAACAGGTATCCCCGAAGGACGGGTGGACCCCAAGCTGGCCTTTGTCCTGCGCCTTCGAAGCCTTTCCAAAGGGACCTCTGGGGGTGGGGTGGGGGTTCCTATCCCTTGAGTACTTGTGACTGTTTTGGCGCGTTGGGTGGAGGAGGGTGAACCCGAGTTTGAAGATCAGGATGGAGAGGCTGGCTCGCGCCCCACCTCCAATTGTGTAAGAGCCTTTATCTTCTGGGGCTGACCCTTTGCAGCATTTCGTCTCTGGGGATGAGGAAAAACTGGCAGAAACTCGATGCCAAAGTGGATTGTTCACCCTGATTGGCAGAGAAAGTGCCAACAAAAGAGGGGCATCTCCCGGAAACAATGACTTTTGGGGATTTCGCTCTCCCCTCGACTTGTCCACCTTGGGATGGGGGAAGGGGTGGCGGTGACAGGGTTGCTGGGGAGGGGACCCGTGCGGGCGTCCCCAGAGTAAAGTTTGCAGCGAGGTAGAGGGAAGATAGGGTCGGGGCGGGAGATGCGGGAAAGGGCGAGAGGAAGAAGGGGTGAGAGGGAGAAACCTGCCGCCGCTCGCCGCCTCTTTGTCTGCTCCGGGACTTGGAACAAAAGGGGGAACTTGATGAACTCTCCTTCCTCCCCTCTTCCCCGGACGCCCGGGTATCTCCGTCTCGCAACTTTGCCTACGCGACTTTCTCCGCTGTCAGGCCACCAGAAAGTGTCCGAGGGCCTCGCGGGTCTGCGACGAGGTAAATAATGTCCCTTAAAAGTGCGACGAAGTGGAGAAGAAGGTGAGTGGAGGTTGTTGTCTTGTTTACCTCTGTCTCGCTCAGCTCGCCCTGCTCCCCGCCCTGGAGAGAGAGGGCTGCGTAATCGCGCAGTGGCAAAGTTTGGCTGGTATATTCCACCTCCCTTTTCCAGCCCAGTCCCTACGCTTTTGTTCTTTAACGAACTTGCACAGATTGTTTTATTTGTTTATTTTAATAGGCAGAAACCAAGCAGGCATTGCTCTCATGTGCTTCTTTATATAAAGAGCTTGGGGGATGGGAGGAGGGTATGGGGGCGCGGGCGTTGACTCGCTTTCTCCCAGCCGCGCAAGTTGGATGGAAACATGCTGCTATGGATGGGAACTAGATCAGTCTCATTCCCACCCAGCCCCGACGGGTCCCGCAGGAGGAAGAGATGCGTAGTCGAGGGCCGTTTCCTCGCGGGTTTTGTAACTTAACTGCGCAGCGCGCTCCAAAGACCCAACGCACAATACAGAAAGAAATAGGCTGCAACAATAGAATGCTGAAGAGGTCCGGGTGGTTAGGGAGAGGGCTCCTGCGTTGGTGGTCAGGGAGGTTACAGCAAGCAGGTAAGAGTTGGGAAAGTTTTCTTGGGGGCTGGGGTGGGGTGGAGGAAGCCACAGGTTCCGGACTGTCAGGGATGCAGGGATGGAGTAGGGCCTGGACCACTGGTTAGGCAGCCCCTTTCAGTTTCACGACCCACCCAGGATGACCTGTGCCCTCTTTGGGGTTCGTCCTACCGCTCTCCCTGTACACACCCACCCTACTCGAGTGGGCTCCGAAGGCAGGGACCCCAGAGCCCCCCACCCCACCCCGAGCTCCCGGGCCCTAGCTTTCCGCCCCGCCTTTTGTGTTTTAACCTTTTGTTTCTATGGCCACGCCCGCCCCAAAGAGGGATGGCTGTTAAGCTTGTGTTTCTAGGAGAGGCTTCCAGTGGAGACTCCCTAACTTTGTTTCCTAAGTCGCTTAACTTTCCAGTGCTTCTATGTTGGTTTTGGCCCACAGGAATGGAGCGCTCGGACCACTAGGCAACGTCTTCATTTTATGTAAAATTTCGTTCAGCATTTTTTTCTTTCTCTCCAAAGTTGTTTGTCCTGCCCTGTCACTTGGTTAATAAAAAAGACATCTTGGAGACCGAAGTAGGGCGTTTGTTGAAAGTGGACAAATGTTGGCTGTATTGTATTTAAATATCAGAATGTATTTAAATATTACTAATGTGTCATGGTTCTACAATACAAATCTAGCTCATTATTTTTGGGTGTTTTGAGGGATGGGCCCAGATACGAAGGTAATTTAGTACCTTTTCCATTTTCTTCTCTCTTGGAGTCCCCGTTGTATATCTGTGTGGCTTTCTTCACAATCTTGCACTTGTTCACCCTTGACAAGGCAAATGAAGCATTAAACTGACCATACTGCTAATAACTCGAGGGACCATCCAATCTTTGAATTTCTGAAAGTTAGGGCTTTCTGTGGTGCTAGAGCTGTGCAGTTTTCCATTTTCAAGTCGGAGACTGAAATACACTGAGACAGATGATGGTTACTTTTTGATAAACAGGGAATATGTAGGGTGGTTGGGAAGCTAACCTGGATTAATTTCCATTGCACAGGTGTGATTATTGTGAGCATCTGGGAGTGTGGAGCAGTGGCTTCAGTCCTTCCTACCACCGACCTTACGTGTTCCGTACCATTCTTATTGGATCTATCAGAAAACAGCATGCAAGAGCCAGCAGCCAACCATTCCTGGTGGAGCACCATCAAACTTCCTCCGTTGGAGTTACTTAAAAGTTATATTGTTGGGATTTTTGATAACGCCTTTCCTTATGTGGATTACTACAATTTGATGGCTGGGAACTCTCCACTCAGAAGGTATGTTTCTTTGTAGACACCGTGTGAGTTCTTGGAAAGGACCATCTCCTGATTTTTGAGCTGTGGTCAAAGTGATTTATGACTTCAGATTGCCTTGGTTGGATCTAATTTTTGTTGATCCTTTTTCATTTGGAATGATGACTTCAGTACTTTTGATGAAGTTTTATTAATTTTACAATGTGCTTTTCAACGTATGCACACATAATGAGAGTGGATTTATGGTCACTAAGGGAATTCTATAACTATTAGGGCTCAGTAGGTCCATTGGGCAAGTAACCCTATTCTGTTTATTTGGATTTCCTTCTTAAATGTCACAGTGGATGTTTTTCTATTAGTACATGGTTTACATTTTTTTTCATTTTGGCACTTTGTTTTGATACACAGAATCCAAAAGTAGCCGAAAAATTATCTCTCATGACAAAGAGTTAATCTAAAGCACAAGTTCTATGAGAAAAAAAATTTGGGTTATGCAGTCACAACTGAGCCTGGAGATATGTTTTATCTTCACAATATATATCAAGTTTTTGTAGTGGTACAAGAGTATATTCCCTCTTTTAAGTCTTAAAATTCATTTCTGTTCATAAAATGCAGTTAAACATTCACATAAATACTATTGGCAATATAAGAAGTACTTTTTGACATATTATTTACTGTCTTTGTTTCAGCAGTTGTTTGCCTTGGAAAGGGAGAGTTTTATTTCTGTGGGCTAGTCAAAAAAATAATAATTGGGAATTTAAAAAATTTTATCTTTATATTAGTAAAAAAGTGTTATGGTTTGCATATTTTTATTTATATAAAGTTATACAAGTTACTTGACATTGTGTGACTTCAATTTATCATCTATGGATTGAAAATTAAATTCAACTTTACAAAATTCTTTAGCTTTAAGATTCTGGTGTTTGTTGGTTATTCCTATAATTAAATCACACCTTCTCTTGTGAAGTTTATTTTCAGACTGTTGAACAATACAAGTACTGTTGTAAAAAACTTAATGAGGATTAATTGTAATTTTTTATTGTATGAGCACTTAGTCCAGGGAATATTACTTCAGGAAATATATTTTAAATTTTCTGTAAAGTGTACTTTTGGCAAAGTGTGCTCTATTAAAATTTACTGTTTCCTTAAAAGTTTTCACTAAAAGTTTATCTGCTGGAAATAACAGATTTCCTTAAACATTTTCACTAGAAGTTTGAGTTTTGGAGGTGGAGAGTGCCGTATTATTTCCTAACAAGTGTTTTACCTATTAATGTCTGAAGCGAGTATGTTTGAATTTGCTTTCATGGACACACAGTGTTGATTTTAGAAACAGATGTTGGGCAGCCCAAGTCCAGGTCATTGGTGACTGTGATGCCTTGGCTCGGTCACTGGTTTCCACAGGTCTCAGTTTAGTCCTTTGTAAAGTGGATGTCCCAAAACTCAGTTCATACAGTCATCGTGGGGAATATATATATATTTGAAAATAGATGTAATAAAAACTTAGCAAAGCACTAAGAATCTGAAACATACAATGAAAGATGCTATTAGCTTCCACAGTGAATCAGTGCTATTTTAATACTTAAAACTTTTCTGACAGATTTCAAACTACATTAGCCAGATAGTCATCTAAATGTTCAAAGTCATTTTGCACAGAAGTTTGCACATATTGAAATACATTTCTCCCTGAAAATATATCCTATTTCTATTCAATTAAGTGCAGATTCATTTACTTCAGTAAACTTTTATCAGGTCTCACTGTTTGTAAACTTGTTGCTGGAGGTCATGGTTCAATTTGAAACCTGTGGCCCTTTCATTTCCTCTTGTTCTGCAAGTCATGATTAAAAACCACCTTTTAGAATTTGTTTACTCGAAATTTCTGTTTTTAATGCTATTAAATGATGAGTAGACATCAATATAGTTTTAATAATTTTGTTTATTGACTTGTGAACTGAAATATAGTGATTACTTCTTGATGAGGAAATCAAGAACTGGAGCACATTTTCCAATATTAGTGTTTACAAAGTAGTCTTTATTAAAATAAAAAACTTATAGTGAAGATCAATGGCACTTAGAAGAATAGCGTTTCATCCTGAAATGAAGTTCTAAGTCTTGGGTTTCCATTTTGTAGATCTGTAATTTAGCAAGCTGCACTGCCTTCTCTGAACGATTATTCACCTTATTTGAGGGAGAGTCCATTTGTCTTACCTTTAGGAGGTTCTGATAGGAATATTAAGGTATTATTTCTTCTAATTGATGTTAACAAAGAAAAATGTGGAATTCATTAACATTAAAGTAAGAAAAGGTCTTTTAAAAAAGTTGTGTTTGAAACTTTGTGTTCAAAAGCATTTATTTTAGTTACTAGATTATACATATCATCAATAGAACAACCACTAATACAATAGTTTGTAACTACAGAATTTTAAATGATAAATACATTAAAACTTTTCTATATTACTTCTTAAATTTATAACCAAATATACTCATTAAGTTTACTACTGATAACAGATTTTATAGTTTTGGGTATTTAAAACTGCTTATTGATTTGGATAGGTTTGGATTACTAGAATCAGAACAGTCTTCTGAAACGTTAGCAGTAAACTTAAATCTGAAGAAAATCTGAACGTTCGTCTGTGCTTTCTAAAAATAGTATCTATGATATATGCCAAAGATATTATGAATAAATAAAAAGTATTGAACTTTGACCTTGATAATAAGTTTAGGAATTAATTATATTGTATTGTGGGCACCATTTCTACTTATTTGCTATGAGTTTCTTTAGATACTTTTTTGCCAAATTTGCTTTGATTTCTTCTTTGTGATTTCAAGTCTGCTGATTTTTAAAATGACTGCCATCTCTAAGAACTTTAATGGTATTTTGACCCCTTATTGTTTTTTAAATATTTATTTATTTATTTATTTTTGGTACCAGGGATTGAACTCGGGTCCTTGCACTTGCAAGGCAGGCCACCGAACCGCTGAGCTAAATCCTCCGCCTTGGCGTTGACCCCTTATTGTTAAGGGTGCTTTAGAAGTTTATCATGACTCTAGGAAGCCTTCTTTGTTAATTCACTCTCTTATCAGTCTTTAAGTAGTATAGATTTAGTACTTTGTAGGTGCCAGACATTGCTCCATGTACTGAAGCTACAGAAATTAAAAAGATAAACAAAAATCCCTGTACCTTTAGAGTCTTTTACTTGTGAGGGTCAAATATATGTTCAAAGGTGGCAACTGTTATTGAGAAAAATAAAGGAGGAGGGGAAGATGGGGTATGTGAGCAGAGAGGTTGCAATTTTGCAGGTTGCCCAGGGATGACCTCATGGGGAAGGTGCCCTTGAGGATTGATATGGAGGAAGCAAAGAAATGAGCTTGCTGATATCAGAGAGAGGAGCACTCCAGCAGAGGGAGTGATAAATGCGTGACTTGGCAAGGGAAAGCTAGGGGTACAGGTGCAGTGTGGAGCACACAGGGGACAGCGGTAGGAGAGAAAGTCGGGGAGGGGATAGGGATATGGTGGGCAGACAGCAAGGGTCCCTGAAGGCCAGCACTCTGAGTCTACACCCAATGAGATGGGTGCCACTGAAGGGTTATCTGATATAATTAACGATGCAATAGAGTGGCTGTGGCTGGTGTGTTGAGACCAAGGGGAAGAGGGAAAGGACAGAAGCAGAGAGGCCGTTGTGAGGTTGATGTGCATGTCCCGTTGAGGGGAGGGGTTATTTGGACATGAGGCGGCATGCAAGAGGTGAGAAGTGGAAATCTGAATGTATTTTGGAGTTAAGGCTGGAGGGATTTTGGTGGGTTGGTTGATGAGTATGAGAAGAAGAGTGGAGTTGTGTATAATTCTGAGATTTTTGGCCCAGGCCCTGGAAAGACTGAAAATCTTGGCTGAAATGATGAATAGGCTCAAAGGAGGGGAAACCAAAAGCTCAGTTTGGATCCAGAAAGATTAGTGTACTTTTTAAGCACCTAAGAGATTAGACACACAAATTGAGTTTTTAGGACAATAATCAAGGTTCAGATTTGTTAGTTGGAGGTAATTACACTTGATCTTAGCCAAAAGGCCGAGAAGCGATTTTTTTTATCTTTTTTTTTTTTTTTTTTTTTTTTTTTTTTAGCGGGATTTTTTTTTTTTTTTTTTTTTTTTTTTTTTTTTTTTGGTACCGGGGATCGAACTCGTGTCCTTGCGCTTGCAAGGCAGGCCACTGAACCGCTGAGCTAAATCCCTAGCCCAGTTGGAGGTAATTAAATGGAAATTAAAACTAACATTGGATGAAAGAAAAGAGGTTTAGGTACTAAGCTTTAGTGCTGTCCAGATTGATTGTTTGATTGATCGATTGATTTGTCCTAGGGATCAATCTCAGGACCTTGTGCTTTGCCAGGTAGGCACGGTGCCACTGAGGTACTTGTTTTGCCAAATCCCCAGTGCAGTGCTGTCCAGATTTAGAAGAGAAGAGGGTGAGGAACAAATAAAGAATAATGGGAGGGACTGCCATGGGTGGGAGTTCATTGTATCAGGCATTTCCTTGCGAAGACAAGCAGTGTCAAGAGCTGCTGATGGGTTCAGTGAAATGGGAATTGAGAATAAATCCTGGGCTTTAGACATTTGGATGGCAGTGTTCTTTGGTAGTCTCTTTGGTAGTTAAGTTCTGGTAGAATGATGACAGTTCATATTTTAATCCTAAATTGTATAATTGTCCATTGTGTACCTTGAAAAATCCCATCTATTTTTAAATAAAAATTGTCAATACTTTATATAACTGATAAAAATACTTTCAAATACATTATCTGAGTTAAACCTTATCATAGCCCGAAAGAGGTGGATGGCATTGTCTGTTTTTAACATTGTAGAATAAGAAATTGAGATTCAGAAGAAAAGTGGTTGGTTCAAAGCCATCCAAACATATGATAGAAGTGTTGTTGTTATTGTTGTTGTTATTTAGCCTGAAATCCTGCATCATCCACAGAGGAGAAAATGGTAATAATAAAACCAATCATAGAGGTTATGATATATAATAGCAGTATAT